CATTTTCATTATACCAGGAAGGACAACTGATTAGATCTATCACAACACCTTAGCCCGAGTGATACAATCAGCAACACAATAGCATCAAGCACAGCTTAGAAAATGACAATTTGTGGTAGTTATTAATCTATCACCTTTAACTATGTGAATTAAATCAATATCGAGGACCAGCCCAACATATGTTTATAGTGAATAAACTCTTCAGTATAGCAACTTTACCCTTCAGGATGGGGACTTAGAAGGAGTTGGGGAGGAAGGGATAGATAGGTAGAAGGTTAGGGAAAGGTTAGTAGTGAGGCCAGAGGGCACAGGAAAATCATGCAAACTCTAGGAAACTGTTGAAGACAAGAGGAAAAGACAGAATGAAAGAACAAATACAAGAACAGAACAACCTAACAGCAATAAGGAGGCTAGAAACTATTTACTTCCCTTTAAAACTAATGACAATCGAGAGAAGGAAAAAGAAAAATAAAGAAGAAATTCGAATTAGAGCCAGAACAGGAACAAAAAAGGAGATGAAGAACAATGTGGAACAGTGAGAGAGCATCTGTGAGAGAGAAAGAAAAGCCAAAAAGGAAAAAGAGAAGAAAAAAGAAAAATTTGAAGAGTAGAAAAAATTAAAAATTGAAACTAAGAGAGAAAAGAATAATTTTGAAAATAACAAATCAAAAATAAAAATGAAGGGCCTCCTTCAGGGTATGTCTCTGCTGTCACAATAGACAACGTAGGCAGCAGTGTGCAGATATAAGTCAATGAGTCTCAGTAAACCAGTCACAGACCTGTGAGATTTAGGCAGATTTCTGGCTGCAAGGCCCAAGTTGAGCTCCCTGTCTTCCTGCAGGGTTGAACTCTGCAAGGCTCTACTGCAGGTTCCAGCTGCCCTTCCCCTGAAGATAGTCCAGGTTCTGATGGGTGGTGATGACCCCTCCAACTTACCAAGTACCACGGTCTCGTGTGCCTGTATTGTAGAGATTCTCTTCACTTTTCCAGTGGGCTTCAGTTTTCATCAAGGAGCCTGAGAGAGGCCCTCTGTTTGTTGTTCACTTCTCCTCTATCTTCTGGAGCTTAAAACAGTGGCCTTTATGACCCCCTGTGCCTCTGTAGTGTGGAACCAGGTACCAGTACAGCCAGGAGGCCAGAGGCAGGGGGGGAGGTTGTTGGGAGTTGGAGAGTGGGAGGCACAAAGCCCTGCTCCACGCAACTGAGGTCCTCACCTTCTGCTCATTGGTCTCTCTACATTGTAACTTCTTACCTATACCAAAAAATAAAAGTCTCAGAGTCCTAGTTTTAGTATTCTTCATTTAAATTAGAAATGCGCTTCTAGAAGTAATAAAATTGTCTCTTAAATTTCAGATATATTGATTCTGATGATAACTAATAAAGTAAAAAGCTATTTGGAAAGTGTATTCCATCTTCTCACAAGAGCTCAATAACATCAAAATAAATGTAATTCTGCGAGAAGGCTTGTATGTTTATACACTGTGATTTTTTTTTACCTTCCAGTTTTCCCAGCTGCCTTTTTCAGGATGAGATACCGTCATGCTTTCTTTCTCTCTCTTCAGTTCCTTGCAAGGCTCCATTTTATCACACACACACACACACACACACACACACTGACACACTGCATGTGTACTTGTGCTAATTTCTTATTGACAGTGATAATAGATGACAACCCTCCCTGGATTTCTTTAAGTATTCCCTCCACCTCATTTCCACTGTAGGTCTGGATCACTGGTCATCCACATACAGTTTGGAAAGAAAAATTGGAACTAACCTTGCTTAACAACAACAAAATCTGACATTAACAAATTTTAAGATCAAATATCCAGTACTGAAGATTTCATAGACATTTGTCTTCGTTCACTAGAAAAAAATTAATAAGTACATAATATATGCTAGTTATTATGGGAAACAGAGAAGTAAATAAGATGAAGTGTCTTCCCTTAAGAATATATGATCATGACAAGTGTGGTGCACATCTGTAATCCCAGTTATTCAAGATGGTGAGTCAGGAGGATGCCAAGTCCAAGGCCAACTTAGGCAACTTAACAAGACCTTGTCCCAAAATAAAATGAAAAGGGTTGGAGATGTATTTCAGTGCTCCCTGGATTCAATCCCCAGTACAATAGATAGATGATAGATGATTAAAAGATAAGAGATCAATTTGCTCAGAAGTCACAAGATGGCAGGTAATAATGATTAAAATCTATAAAAAGACAGTCAAGCAATATTCTATAGATATTTAGAAAAAGATTAATTTTGGTTGGGGACATCTGGAAAGGTTTCATGAAGAAACTGACATTTGAGCAAAGATTTAGAGGATGACTTAAACACTCATACAGAAGATTAGGGCAACTCAACAAGGTCTGCATGGGAAACCTCACCCATGCAGAAGGAGAAATTTGAAAAGCATGGGCTATATTAAATGTTTAAACGTTGGAGGTTATGTTGAGCCCCAGATTTCACGCACTATAAAAGTCCAAAGTCTCCCCCAAGACTTGTACAGTTCACGATGGCGGCATTCTCTCAGTCAGATTGGACACCATGCTTCTCCTTCAGCTTCCGTGGCTATGGATTTGCTTGCCACGCCCCTGGCTTATTTGGGTTTGGGATCAATTTCTCTCAGTTTCCACAACTCCTGCCATCTTCTTAACACACCGAGTAATACAACTTACTTAAGACTTGGGTGTTTCGAGATTACTTCACTGGAAAATACACAACTTCAAGTCAAGTGTTGACATCTTTGCTATTAAAAGCTTTCCAGGCACCCAATCACAGGTGCTTTCATTGGCCTCTCCATTCCTCTGTGCTCAGCTGAACTGCCTCACTTCATTCCTCTCTTCTCCTTCTTCCTCTCTTTTATTCTGCAGAACAATTCAGCTTCTTTTACCCTTTACTTTAAAAATCTGCTGTAAATCCACCTTTGCCAGTCCAAACCCATCAAGATTCTGAATAGAACAAAGTCTTTTACATAACAGGGACCCTGTCACTGGAGGCAGTTATGTGTGGTTGCACATAACCTTTATTTCTTCCCGAAGAAAGAGAAAACAAGAATATTTCCATGTGTTCTTTCCTAATACTCCGTATAGTTCATGTGGTTTGGCCTGATCTCAATAAATCACTCTCTTCATAAAAGAAGTATCTGAAATACTTCCTAAAAGGTTAAATAAATCAATAAATCAAGTATGAAAAATCATAGAAAAAAGAATGTATCAGATGAACTAGAAAAGTCCATTTATGTCCCAGAATCTTCCCATGGAAACTTTATTTGCCATTTCTCTTTATTAATAAAATATTTAGAAAGCATTAAACCCTTTCAGATCAATGTGATGCCATTTGGAGTGCCTTAATAAAATTTTATGAATAATCATTGAAATGTTTTACTTTATCCAACAGAAAGACTTTTAAAATCATCTTACTTGGCTTTGAGGTTCTTTGAGTCAATCTCAGTGTGTTTTCACTCATTCATTCATTCTACAAATATCTATTCAACCTTCACTGTGCTCCAGATACTTTGATGAGTATAGGAATAAAATGCTGAGCAGTACAAATTCCCTGCCTTCACAGAACTGGTAGTCTAGAAGGGAAAGCAACCATGCAAATAAGCAGTAGCTGTAATGTATGTTTCTAACACCGAGGTGAAAGTATAGGTCTTTGGGTATTGAGAAAGTTCAGTTTTCATTAGAATTGGTTAGCATAAATTGAAATCTAATATAGCCATTGCATCGCCCAGTTTTAAATTAGTAATTCCTACACTCTAATCTACATTTTTAAAAAATCTTCATTTTACAGTTGGTGGATTCAAAGTAGGATTGGACCTTCTGGTTGAATTTGAATTCCGTACCACTAGAACCACAGGGGTCCTTCTGGGAATCAGCAGTCAGAAAATGGACGGGATGGGCATCGAGATGATCGATGGGCAGGTGAGCAATGGCCACACACAGCTTTGATTTCTTCAAGATACTGTTTTTCACGAGTAGAGAAATGTATTGCGAAGTCTTGCTTTTTGGGGGTTAAGAAAAAAGCTGGATTGTATCTTTCCATTCTTTCAGAGTTTCTCAATTTGTGTATATTTTCATCATAATTATTCTGTGGACCAGCATAAACTTTCAGTGTATTAATCCTACAGCGAGGCCCTTGTATTGACCATAATGGACTAAATTGTTTCAGATCTTAGGCTCTGGCTGCATTGCTGTGATACACGGTTTATCTGCTCTTTGCGAACACAGTCTATGAAACTCTTCATTCCAGAGGAAAAAGAAAAGGTTCAGGTTCTCTAGTCAGTCTGCCTCTGCTCCCAGGTTGGGCATCTCAGAAGTCAAGCTGGTCTGCTAAAACATCAGTCTCTCAATTTTTATTTAAAAGCATCAAAACATTTTTTAAAAAGCAAATTTATGGAAGTGTTTTTGCCTACAATGGGTAATTCAGCTCTGAATACCTCTTTAGTCCCAGCCTCCCTGTGAATGACGCCTGCAGTGAAATGACCTGTTTACCTGTACTTTGTACGACAGACAGCAGGCAAAAAGTGGAGGCAAACCAAAAGCTTTCACAAGTTCCCTCTTTGACTATTAAATAGGAATTACATTTCAACTCTGTTCCTATTTCCAACCTTTGGACACTGTTGCCTCCCAAGAAGAAAAACTACATAATGACCTAAAATATGCTTCCCTTGGCTCCTCCTTCCTTCAGTCTTCAAAAAGTCCTCAAAGACAGTGTGGAAAAAACATTCAAGGACCTTAAGGGGGTGGGGGTGTGTGTGAACAAATAAGCAACATTGAACAGTTTTGTCAAGTCTTCAATACACCTTTTCAAGTAAGCTTCATTTCTTCACCTGCTTATAGCCATAGTTATGATGCACATGTCACTCTGTCCTGTGACTTCTCATCAAGTCTCTTCTACATGCAAAATCCTGTCAAAAATTCTTCCTTAATGTTACAGCACTATGTGTAGAAAGGATGAGAAGTGCAAATAAATAAGTGAAACTTTTATTGACTCACATTTCTAATGCTTTTTAAAACCCCTATTTCTTTTTTTTTTTTTGGCCTTGTCAAATGTGTTGCCAAATTGACTAATGTTTTTAATATTTTAGTGTTTCTTTTCTTCATCAGCTTCAAAAGAATTCTGGCATCTCTAATTTCAGGAGCCTTTCCATATTACTAAAAACAAATTCTTCTCATTTATAGGAGGGCTTCTAATCTGTGTTCTTCAATGTTATGGATTTAACTGGCCTCTGGCTTGGGTCTTTGGCACTTGTGGTATAAAACTTGCCCAAAAAGGTGCTTTATGTAACTCTCAATCTTGATATAAAATGGAATCCAGTAAGGAAAAGAAATACAATTAAAACATCAAAATTTTAAAAATTCCTTAGAGTTTATAACCCAAATTAATGAATTGCTTCAAACAACATTTTTTCTACAAGTTTTATGAGGTTCGCTGTATAGGAATAGGTGGTGGAATTTTGCTGTGTATATTACATTCTTTTCTTTTTGTTGCCTGACTTCAGATTTTTCTGAACTAGCTTCATATGCCTTCCCTATTAATACAAACAATGGCTAAACACAAAAGACATAATTTGTGACTCTTATTAATTAGATTTAAATTTTAATGTGTGTTGTTTTGTTTTTTGTTTTTTAAGTTTAATGTGCCCTAATTATGTTCACTTCAAATGAGTCCACCTGATTTCTTTGCCGAGTGACCTGGAACTTTCATTGTGTGAACCGTCATGATAATCCTCTAATGAAACCATCCGTGACTGCAATTTCCTACTTTGTAGCTTATGTTTCACGTGGATAATGGTGCTGGTCGTTTCACTGCCATCTACAATGCTGGGATCCCGGGGCATTTGTGTGATGGACAGTGGCATAAAGTTACTGCCAACAAGATCAAACACCGCCTCGAGCTCACAGTGGATGGGAACCAGGTGGAGGCGCAGAGCCCCAGCCCGGCATCCACGTCAGCTGACACCAATGACCCTGTGTTTGTGGGTGGTTTCCCAGGTAAGTGTTGAACTTCATTGCTGATTGTCTGTGGATCTGAAGCATTTTTATGTATACAAACATGGCCAAGAATGTGTACTTACATGCACTTGCTCCCTAGCTTTAGAATCTCCTCTCATAAATAACACGTTGCCCCAAATTTCCCAGTCTGTGAAATGATTACAAGCCACATGGGACTGAACTTTTCATGCTAGCCCCCAATGTCTTATCCATGAGGAGGAGAAGGCTAGAGGAAATGAAAGTGCTTACATAAAATATGAGGCATTTAACACCAATTGAGGCCAGAGCTGGTGTTCTTTCTGATTTTTCAAAATGAATATACCAGAGGGATCATTAAGTATTGTGGAACTTACTTCCTCCAGTTCTGGAAATCATTGGGTTAAATGGAGCTAATTTCCCCCTTGGGTTAGTAAAGACTATATTACCAAGAAACCAAGCAATAAATCTGTATTCAAAGTCCTTCTGTAGCACATTATGTATAGCACACAAACCACAGAGAGTTATGTGAAGTGCCCATAAACAAAAGTGGACAATTGGAGGAATAAACTCAGTGCTTCTTAATAAACACTGTAATACACAGACAATTGGATAGGTCTTTTCATCATTTTGGCAAGAGGAACTTTTGTCCCTGTCTATAAAGAGCTAAGGCTGCTTAACGAAACAAACACAATATAGAGGACCCAGCAGTGGTTGACAGAGCAAAAGATACAGAAGTAGTGAGACATAGATCTTAAAAAGTCTTCCTTCAATCAGGATACACCTCCACGATATTGTGAAGGAGACAGTACTTATCCATTCAAAATATTTGGAATGAGGGCTTGGTTAGCACCCAATGGGCCTGCTGACCAATGGGTCTCCTTCGTAAAAGGAGGAAAATTTTATGTGAGCTTCCAGCCAATTTATCATTTGGGGATTTATGTTTTCACTGTCAGGAAGCGATAAAATCACTTTTAAAAACCCAAGTCCTAACTCAACATCTGAAGCATTTGATCAATCTCTTTGTTGCACTAAATACAACTTTATAGTTTTAAGTCACAGTTTTAAATATGTTCATTCCAAACCAAAATATTTGTTTGATATTAAAATTCATCATCTCAGAGGTTTCCACTTTTCATAGTAACCATTAAAAATTTGATATTTTGCTACAAATCGGTTAGTAAACCTAAAAACAAAACCACTGACTTTGTGGAAGACAGATACCCACTGAATCTCAAGCTAACAGCTGGCTACACACTCTTAGCATTTCACACAGCAGCATTTCAAAACTGAGCCCTCCAGGCTTGGGTGTAGCTCCGTGGTAGAACACTTGGCTCTGAGCCTTCTTGCTTTGTCTTTTCAGATGGCCTCAACCAGTTTGGCCTGACCACCAGCATTGGATTCCGAGGCTGTATCCGCTCCTTGAGGCTCACGAAAGGAACAGGCAAGCCCCTGGAGATTAACTTCAGCAAGGCCCTGGAACTGAAGGGTGTCCAACCTGTATCATGCCCAGGCAACTAAATCAGCTGAACCCCAAAAGGGTCCATGCAAACAAGTATATCATATAGAACAAATACATTTTGCCTATGTGTATTAATAAACCTAATTTGCACATGTATATGGTACTCTCTATATTCAGGTGGGGCTAATTCAGATCCCAGTTGAATTCTAATTCAACTTCTCTCTCAAGTTTATGAGTATTAAACCAATTATTTCATTTCAACAATTGCTTGTTTTGTGTGATTTTAAGGATAAAAATTTGTAAGCTATTAAGTTGGCAGTATGGCATGGAGTCATCTCAAGAAAAAGAGCTCAGATATAATGTGTGAAGGCAACTGCTTTTAAACTGACTCCTACTAATACTTTTATCATTCTTTTCCATGTATATTGGCTTTGGCTTTCTGTCCGAGCCACTGAAAACAAGTGGACTTGGCATCTGTGATTGGGAGGAAATCAGCTGCCTTACTCCCTATGTGTGTAAAAGCATTAGCAAATCATTTCCTTGATCCAAGTTCATTATTTGAGAGTTTAACTAGCCATGTGAGTGAATGCCTTTTTATGCTGAAGGTAGACAGTATAGATCAGATCCAGGACACAGAGCTTAATTACTTGGTTTTCTTGTTTGATAATGATTTATAGGCTTTGGGGAGAAACTAGAACCAAGCTGCAGAATGACAATTAAGCACACATTTGATACTACAGTATCAGCCTGTGGGCTCTCTAGATTCATAGTGAATTTTATAATCTGTGTGCACAGGGAGCAGAATCTTGCTGGAATGTCCACCAGATACTTCAAAGGTGCACTTCACAAAGTCTTTCTGAGTTATAATTTGGCCTACCAAATTCATATCCTACAATTTTGCTATTTTGTCTTTTGTTATTTTAGTCATCTCCAAAGCGGTCTATAGCCTAGATTTTATTCATAAACTTAAGAATGAAATGTTTTGTTTGCCATCTTCAGAAGAAATGGTGATAGACTAATACTTCAGCACATTTCAAAGAACAGTAGATTTCCCTCACTATGAAAATTTCAGTATAAGGGGAATAATCTTCTCTGTCAGTCCTCTCCACTGTGGGAATGAAGGCGCTAGTTTCCATTCCAGGTGCTGTGAATGTACTCCTGGCATTTTAGCAGTGACCACTAGAGCTACATAATTTGTGCACACAATTCCATTCTAGAGCCAGAAATTCTCACCATTGGCTCAGATGTTCAGGAAATTGCTGAGAAATTTAAAAAAACAACAACAACCAAAAATTCCCAGAACAAAACCTTGTTTTTGGAGTAGCGATTCTAATCTGGACTAGGCTATAGCCTGGATATGAGGATTGTTGAACCTTCCCAAGCAATTCTAGTGTATTATCAAGGTTGAGAATCTCTATTTTAAAGAGAAAAATCATCTTCCAGATGAAGAGGTTTTATAGTCATCTGAGAATCGTACTGTTAGCTTTATCTTGGCCATTTCCATGCATACAAAAAAATTTGAATCTAGTGAGTCTTTTAATCAAACTTTGAGCAATAAAAGCATTTGAAAGCCAATGTGTTCTGCAAGTGAAAATAATTACTTCTGCTGCAGTGAACCCTGTCATGAGTTTAGGCGTTTACTCTAGATATCGAGTGGGATAAACAAGAATAAAATTGCTAGATGTCTTAAATTAAAAAGCCGACACTTTTCTTTCTTGAATTCTACACAGAAAGATATATACATTTGAAAGTAAAGGTACTTCATGGATATGTGTATCAGAGACAAGGCCTGCTGACATCAATTTGTAAATAAACACCTTGGAATGGGACGGTTGGAAGCAGCAAAGTCCCCCAATAAGTTTTCCAATGTGGTCCCCAGAAAGTTGCACCTGGGCCCAAGAAGAATTTACTGGGTCAGGTTGGGGCTAAATCCAGGGTGTACAAATCAAAACTCCAGAGTGGCTCATGAAGTGGCAAGAACAAAGTTTGTCTAAACTTTAAGAGGAGAAATAAGAAAATTTTACAAAAGGGAAAAGTTTTTCTTAGCATATTTTAAATTAATTTCCTACCTCTAAAATCAAATTAACTTTATCCCAAAGCAAGATAAAATGTTTTCTTCTCCCAACCTTTATCTACTCAATGATTTTCTCACCTCTTGCCACCCACAGCAATCATAAACAGAATCCTTTTCATTTATTTTCCAAACACCCACTCCTACCAGGTTCTCAGCCTTTTTCTTTAAAAAGGTGCTTGGCACTTTAGAAGAAAAATGTTTGTGAGGGGGCTTTCATTAAAGTTACCATTGTGAACACCATTGACAAAGAAAAATAAAGAAGGAGCAGATTTCAGCACTAAGAACACAGGCAGACGCTTAAAGCTTCAATTAGCAGTTTTTAAAAATCATAACTATTTCCTCCTACTTGGAGTTAGCCTGTTATCCCCAACTACAAAGCCCTTCTAGATTGTCTGCTTAACAAAGTAAAGACTACTTTGACAAATTAAAACTCTCATGCTTTGATGTGCTTACTTACTGAGTTATTCTGTGCATAAAATTGGAAAATATGCCTAACATGAAAATAAAACACTATAGTCAATTTTACAAGTACAAAGTACAGTCTCTCTACTATGATAGGCAGGTAAGTTAGATAGAAAGAAAGATGCAATCAAGGAGGGACTGGGCTCCAAGGAAGTCAGCGGGAAAAAGACAGACAACATAGTTGTAGCTGGAGGTGCATCTGAAGAAGGCCAGGCCTCGATATAAAGATGCAATGGACAGGCCTGCATGCCTCCCTAAGAGATCAGAAACAACTTGAGATTATATTGTAATCAGCACCACCTGGCCCAGTAAGTCCAAATGGGCATCGGTCGCTCAAGTGGGTGACCAGAACATCTGGAACCGTCCCTTCTCAAAAAATGTTTCGGTCTTAGAAGTCACAGATGAGCCAAGGTTAATGATGCTAACCATCTACCCTTGCTATGTGACTTGCTTCCTAATGGATCAATATTAGTTAAGCGTCTATACATGTAATCCTATAGGTTGATTGTAGTTTGATCCACATTGTACCCACATTATGACTTGGCTGTATAAATTACCCCTGATAAAGGACCTCTGTGGCCACCCACTTTCAGAACCCCTCTTGTCTCTCAGGAACTGTCTCTCAATAAAACTTCCCCACTCTTAACTTCCATTGTTCCTTGGAATTCCTTCTTTAATTTTTGATACACAAACTTGGCACATATGACATCTACCACATTGGGAGTTATATTTCTCCTATATCATTACTACTGCTTGCAAGGAATATGACTAACTGCCCAAGAACTTTCTTACCTAATTTTTGAATGTCTTTTAGCTTCTGTTTGGTCAAAAGAGATGTAATCATATGCACTTTACTCATCTGCTTGACTGAGATCAAAACACAGACAGCAAGGGCACCTGGAGAAGAGGATTGCCTGGCTTGGGTTCACTCTGGCATTTGTGCCAGTTTTCTAAGTGATCATGACATTTGTGACAGGAGAATCTTATGAGATGACCAGGTCCCCAGAAGTGTGGTTTATAACACACAGTGACAAGCACATGGAGACAATTTTTTCATCATTTTCTTTCCTTTGAATTATGTAAAACAAAACAATGATTTTAAGTTGAAAGATTTTAAATCATATTACTAAAGATCAGTTAATATGATTTATTTAATATTATAACAATTCTGCAATCAACTGAAATAAAATTACTGAGTGTTAAAAATCACAAAAGCCATCTCTGAGCAGACTCCACCACATCTGGAGAGCCGGTTTGGACCTGACTGGCTTACCATGCAGCGTTCTGCACAGAATCCATCCAGGGGCCCGACGGGCACCTCCGGGAGCTCGGCGCTGCTCCCCGAAACGGAGGTGAGAGTACTGGAGGCTGTTGCCTGCCACGGAGAAGGACACGCCACACAGGGGCAGACACAGTGTGCAGGAAAAGCACAGCATCGAGGACGAGTCCAGATCACAACATCAAGCAGAGGCCGGAAAGAGTGGGTGCGCATGTGCCTGTGCTTCGTTCCGCCCTGGCAATTCAGTACAGTCCTTTCAGGGGCAGAACCGTCGAGGAGGGATTCGAACAGATACAGGTAGTTTATAAGTCTTTCAGAAGGCATAAAATAGGCTGGCCAACCTCTTCCTACACAAACAGGTGGAGAGAAGCAGCAAGGAAGGGAGGGGACCAGAGGGAAGGAAATTTAGACTTCACGCATTTGAAAAGTGATGTTGACCTTAATTTTAAAATGTAAATAAAAGCAGATTTATCGACAAATTTGTATTGTTTGATTTTAATATACCAAATGTATATTAGTTTTTTGGTTGAGATTTTAATGATGTACTGTGAAATAAAAAATGAACCAAAACTTTATGATCTGATGTTTTTCAATTCTACTTTTAGACTTTAAAATATCAACTGATTTATTTTGATATTTTTATTTTTTGTTTCTCTTTGGAAATTGAAAGAGGAATTGTTATATTACCGCATATAGGCACTTCTCAAAGATAACATGCGGTTGTGATAAATAGTTTAATTACACCATATAAAAAGTAAACTGGACATAATTTTGTTTTCTCATCAATTGTTTAATGTATTAGAGATAATCATAACGCACCACGTGAAACATTTTATTAGATGAATATATATCCTGACTCTCGTGAGGCAAATGTGGGGAAATTATTCATAGTAGTCAAAACAATAAAGATGTCCAGCATTGCAGGTGGTAACAGTGCACCTCTAATGATCACGGTTACCTGGTTTTCATTAGTTGACATACGTGCTCCTTTGATGTAGTTCAGGGGGTCTCTGAACTGTGCAGTATTAAAGGGAAATCTTTAATAATTATTTTATCCTGTACAATGCCTTTCTAATGGAGATATAAATATTTGCCATTTTGACAAGAACTCTCCTGAATACAATCATGAAAACATGGGTGTACATAATCAAAAGTGGAAGAGTGTAGCTTTGGTAACAATGTCCAGTTGTATTGTTAAGATACATCAGGGGGTCGTGACATCAAATTACAGGATTGTAACAGCACAATTATAAAATAAACTAGGGTGGAAAGGAATGGAACAGAATAATAACACTGAAGTGCATTGTTCAGAGTGAGGATTGTTTCACAAAATTTGTTTTATGTATATATACACTTATGTGTAATGTAAAGTATGTGTAAAATTTACTCATTTCCGTGAAATACAGATCAGAAATAATAATATGAGAAAATAAAATGAGGCAATGGAAAGGAACCCATAAGGGAATTAGTTCATTCTTTGTTCTTATTAAAGTAGAGATAGCAATAGAATAATAATTTACTACTAGAATAACAAATTTGTAAAATTTATGTACTAACCTAAGTAAGACTGACATGCCAGTGTAGGTTACACCAGCAAGCCAAATTGCTTTGCATTAGAAAGTGTGACTTAGGCATAACTCCTCAGTTGTGATTGCCCGGCCCCATCAGATATGAAGGGCTTCACCTGTTCAGAACCTCATCTCCAGAAAGCACAGAAAAGATGTGATAAAAATAAAAAAGAGAACAAAGCCCTTGGAGGAATAATTGAGGAGGAATACAAAAGAAACTGAAGACATCCAGATATGGCACAATAATATTCAAAAGAGTTCTCTTTTTTGAATGAAAACATTGCCAAAATCTCATTTCCTAGCAGTCTGAAGGATGGAGCCCCATAAAAGAATAAAAAGGCACAAAAAAAGACAAAATGCAATTTGTATAATTCAAGTTTGAATTAAGTATAAAATACTTCTCAGGATCCATTTCTAAAAGTCACAGACTTTACTGAGTGTTTAAGCAACAATTGTAATAGCTCATACATGAGAATATTTTGGAGAACACAACATATTTTGTGTTGGATTTTTATGCAATCCCTTCTGATATAACAGGTGCATTTGCTAGCATTTATTAAACTGTAGGCAACATCTGTCCCAAATCTATTTCCCTTATTTCTGGGATGCAGTCCTAGATTTCCTTCTGAGTCACACCCCTCCTCCCACCACCCTTACTTCAGAAATAAGCGCAGAAAGTTCAACAGAATCCCACCCCCAACTTCCAGCCTAGGACGCCTGGATGCCTGACAGAATAATGGGTTTTCGGTGATGTCTGTTTGAAGAAGCGCACTCATTCCCTGAGCTGGTCCATAGGCAACGGAAGAGCTGGGTTGCTGTTTCTTAGTGGAAGAGCCCAGGCCTACCAAGGAACCCAGGAGAGAGCTGACATGGAGATCACATTGCAAAGGCACAGGGGAGAAGCTAGCTCTTGGAATAAACCTCACCTGAAGCCTTCTGAGATGCTGGCCTTCTCGCCCGCAAGCTCTGGAGTGGTTCTTTGGACGTGAACAGTTTCTTGTCCACCCCCCACCCCCCCCAGCATTCAGTTCTAACTGAGGGACTCTGAACTGAGTCCCCTGCGGTTTCCCAGTTAGTCCTCATGACACCCGTATCAGATATGGAGAAACAATGATAAAACAAATGTCAATGCTCAATGTCATCAACCAGGAGCCCCCGAGGCCACCAATTTTAAATTTAAAACATTCTCATTAGATTCAGTACTCTTCAAAAGTAAAACTGTAAGTGTTTTAGACTTTAAATTCTCTTTAAATGACACTTGAAGGGTAAAGTAGTGACGGAGCCCAGCAGAGTTCTCATGAAGAAGAGAGGTAAAAATCATCATTCCTGACCTTTCTTTCCACAATTTAGGATCTATTTAAATGATAAAATATAGAAGCGGTGTTGAGATAAGCATATAATCTTATCCCCAGTTCTTTATTTTCGAAGTAACATTTTCCTGCCAGCCAAAGCAACACAGGAGTTTTTTATTTTCAGAATATCAGGACTTTTCGTGGAATCCAAAGAAGAGAAGCCCGAGCTCACAGGCTCGCGAAATCCACAACTGAAAACTCTCAGCTCTGCAGCAGCTTCCCACTGCGCTGATGTAGACAGCTTCTCCGGTGCTGCTTATTTTTCCGGGGGGGGGCATGGAGAAAGTGCAGCTGCTCGCAATCCAAATTTGAACTTCCCTAGAAAGAAAGCACGAAGCTGGGCCTGAATCAAGTATTGCTCCCTGCCATGTAATCAGCGCCCCCACCCCGAAGGATCAGGTGGTACAAACGGAACTGCGCATGTCTCTCCCCAAGGCCCAAAGATGGAGGCGGCCGAGTGAGGAGGGGTTCTCTCCACAGAGACCCGAGAAGTTGTTGGACTGCAGCAGGACAACGTCAGTGACAAAGTCCCCTGCCTACCAGGTGAGGAAAGGAGTCCTGGGACCCTCGGGAGAGGCTTGGAGTCCCTGGTGGACTTGAACTTGGTTGTAAGGCTTTGGGGGAAGCGCGGGAAGCTAAATCAAATGGAAACCTGGAAGCCCGGATTGCCACAGAAAGTGGTCTGATGAGAGCATCATTTTGACATGACATATGCAACAGCAGAAACATTTCTAAATAATGAACTGACATGTTGAAACTAGAACTTGTTTGCTAGCCTCAAAGAGGTAGTAAGAATTATGTGGTGTCTCTTTTAATCCTGCCAAAAAGACAGATGATAAATGAATTTCTCAACTAAGTGCTGGTCTTGGAATGAAAGCTTTATCACCACAGCTGAAAACTATTTAGTCATCAATTAAATGATAATGAGTTTTTTAAAATCTTCTCTCTCCCTGTTTCTAAACAACTTCATCTGCCTGATAAATCGATCTAAATTGCTCCATAATTTAAAGGCCTAGTGTCTACTCAAAATGTTTGGTTTGTGTGTTTATTACAGTCCACATAGTGCAAAATATGAACAAAAAAATCTAATTTTCTTAAGGGAACATCTATAATTGATTCACTGTAATGTGTTTCTGAAAGACTAATAAGGTTAACTTTTCCTCATGGCAGTAAGATACGAAATATTTAAAAATCTCTTGAGTGAATAGAAAGCCCAGTGACCTTTCTCATTATTTTTGAACACTTTATAAGGATGTTCAAGTGGAATAGGATTGTTCAATCTGTGGTCAACCCTACCCAACTCAACTACTTTCCCACTGGAATGGAAATTCTAAAACTAAAACAGTTGTGAGACTCTTATGCTTTCTAGATCAAATAATGATTCTCAAAAGTGATTTCAACTTTAAACTGATAAATTATAAAATGCTTCTTCTACCCTTTGTCTTCCCCCTTTTCTCTGCCTTTCCACTATGCACCACTCATTTTTTAAAAAATGAAAAGAACTAATCTCAATAAGTGCCCCGAGGTGATAGATTTGGTGATTAAAAGTGAGATAAAGAAGGGCGGGAGATTTAGCTCAGTGGTTCTGCCACCTGCCTTGCAAGCTCAGGGTCCTGAGTTCAATCCCTGGTACCTAAATAAATAAATAAAATAAAATAAAATAGAGACACCAATATTTATTTTTTAAAAAGTAAGATAAAAATAATTGCTCATCTTCCATCCAACAGATATGTTTGAGCGCCATGTATGTGTGCACTACATTCACAAGGAGGTGGATACAGTGTTGAATGACAGAGAAAATCCCTTATCTCTTCCTCTTCTCCCTGATGGTGAGTAGAGGAAAGCAGTAAATAAACCAAAACCTTATAATAAGTGGAATAAAGGAAGCAAGGGACTAAATAGAAGCAGGGAAAACCAATATTCAGATGTTTAGGGAAGGCTGTTCTGGGCAGGTGACCCTTATGCAGATACCTAAATGAAAAAGACCCAATTCTGTAGAAATTATAAGCGTGGGTGAGAAGGTGGTTCAGGCAGGACTGGAATGTGCACATGGAGATAGCACAGAGCAAACATCTCCTGGGAGCAGAAGTGACTGTTGTGGCTAGAGGAAAATAAGCCAGTAGAAGGGTGGTGTGAACTCAGTTGGATAAAGACAGGGCCCCATTGTGCGAGTGTTACAGCCATGCAGATGGACATAGATATCAGTTTTGAGAGCAGTGAGAAGTCAGTGTGGGGCTGCAAACCACAGTCTGATTCAATTTCTGTTGCTCTTCTCTGGAAACAGTTTTGGAGAGACATAGGAATAGAAGGAAACTTCGCAGCAATTCTGGTAGAAAGATAGTAGTGGTCTGGGTTAGAGGGCTACCTTAAAGAATATTTTGAAGCCAGTGGACTTAAGATGGCTTAGGCATGAGGGGGGTACCTGAGGGAGCAGAAAAGTAGATTTCAAGGACAATTTGTAGATTTTTGGCCTGAGTGTACATATAGGTGATGATATCATTTACTACAATACAGTAACAAGTGAAAAGATCAGTGAAGTTAACAACTAGGATGCTGTGCCCAACAGGAAGTCAGGGCTTCATTTATTGTCTAAATGACCAAGGAGCAGGTAATGGGGAAGGGCTGGGCTTTGGGACTCTGACCACTTTCTCTGAGGTCCTCTCAGCCTTGCACTTTCCAAGTGGTCTGTCCTGGGTGTGCTGACTGCAACAGGTTCATGCATCAGCACTCAATGAGTCTCCTTCCCAGGACCAAAGAGGACATTCAGAAAGTTTTGCAGAAATCCCTACTTAAGTCTCACGGGTAGACAGAACCACAAAACCAACCATGTGCACGAAGAAAGGGACCTCCATATTTTCTTGTATCAATCCAGACATTTTTCCTGAAACTAGAGGTAGAATCCTCTTGCCAAACTGTGTTGGGAAGATGCAAATTAATAAGAGCAGGACTTACCCAAACGTATTGAAAACCTATGACCTCTTAAAGACACACATGAGGATGTGTGGAGCAGCTTTATTTATAATCGCCAAAAAATTGGAAGCAACCAAGTTGTCCTTCAATAGGGAAAACGATTAAATGTGTTGTATCCACACACAAAAAATATTATTTGATGATAAAAAGAAATGGTCAATCCACGAAAAGGCAAGGAGGGAATCCTAGGAGCTCATTTCTAAGGGAAAGCCGCAGTCAGCCCAATGATGAGACATTTTAGAAAATTTATGGAGGTACTGAAAGGATCAGTGGTTTCCAGTAGGTCAGGATAGAAGGGGGAGAGAGAAACAGGGGGAAGCACAGATTTGCAGGGCTGAGGAGCTGTTCTTTCTAAAACTGTAATGGTAGATGCGTGACATTATGCATCAGGCAGTGTCCACTCTTCAATTCAGAGAGAACCATAATGGAAACTATGGACTGCAGTTAACAACAAACATTTGTTCATCAATTTCTATAATCTTTAAAATCAATTATTACCACACAAATGAAAGAAGTTAATAGCAGAGGAAATTGGGTGTGGGTGGAAGCAGTATATGGGAACTTTCTGTACTTTCTGCACAATTTGTCTGGAAACCCACAATTGTTCTAAAAAAAAAAGTATTAAAAATTAGAGTTCTGTCAGCAAGAAACATAGGACAAACAGAATTGAATAGTTGGCTAAGATTGGCCTATGATGGATGAGAGAAATGACTCCTGAGTCTTTTCAAATGTGATGAATCTGAGATGTGAAGTGTCATGTGAACATGTCGAGCCATCTCCTGGGTGCCTGAATCTGACACTCAACCTGGCAGCCAAGAGATATGAATTTTAGACACAAGGACCCAAGAATCCATGGAAATTAATAAGCAATCCTAAGGAAGGTGAAGAAAGGAAAGATTGTTCCAGGACCAGGACTCAAGAACCACCACACATAGAGGTTAGGTTGTAAAAAGATGATACTAATAAAGGAGAATGAAAGGGAGGTGATGATGCAGTTTTAAAAAAATGTGATTTCAACAAATGAAATATTAATGTGTTCACTTCCCCCTAAAATAATAATTGGTAAGGTGACATGTTAGTTTGAGTCCTTCTGTAATGCATGCATAGATTAGATCATCACACTGTACCCCATAAAATTGCACAATTACTTTTTTGTCAATTAAACATAAAAGTTAATGAACTAAAAGCTTTCTTAAAAGACAAGCGAGGTGCATTTTATTAAGTTTATTGATATATTTTAGGTATACATTTTGATACCATTTATCATTGGGAATTTGTACCTGTACATGATGCATCTTGGTTCTGATTTTTTTCCCATTTCCTTTTCCTCTCTTCCACCCCTCCAATGCTCCCTATTTACAAAACCTTTGTTTCCATTTTTTCTTTATCTCATTTTTTTCTTTTCCTTCTTTCCTTTCCCCCACTCTCTCTCTACTTCCCCTCCCTTTTGAACCTTTTCTTCCTATTCATATGACCTATTATACATTTTGGTTCTCATTTACACTTTCAGTTTCTCATACCAGAGAAACTATTCGGTATTTACACATGTGTGTCCTATTGATTTCACTTAAGAGGATGGCCTCAATGTGCATCCATTTACCTATAAATAGCTCTAGTTTATCATTCTTTATGACTGAGTAGTACTCCATTTTATAAAAAACCACATCCTCTTTATCCAGTCTCCAGTTGATGGATTATTGGGCTGTTTCCAAGTTTTAGCTATTACAAACTGTGCCGCTATAAACATGGGTGACAATATACATATATGTCTGTGCTATGATCTTTTAATTCTTTTGGGTAGATTGCCAGAAGAGGAGTAGCTGGGTCAAATGGGACTTCCAATCCTAGTTGTTTGAGGTATCTCTATACTGATTTCCACAGTGGTTGCACCAGTCTACACTCCCACCAGTAGTGGAGCAGTGTTCCTCTTTCCCCGCAGCCCCGCCAGCATTTGTTATTGGTTAATTTCTTGATAGCAGCCATTCTTTCTGGGGTGAGGTGGAATCTAAGTGTTGTTTTCATTTGCATCTCTCAAATGATCAGTGATGTTGAACATTTTTTCATATGTTTATTTGCTGTTTCTACTTCTTCCTCTGAAAAACATCTGTTTATTTCAGATGCCCATATGTGGATAGTGTCTTTAAATTTGGGGGGGGTCCTGATTTTTTAAGTTCTTTATATATTTTAGATAGTAGACTTTTGTCTGGGGAGCAGATGGTAAAAATGTTTTCCCACATTTTGGGTTGACTCTTCACTATGTTGGTGGTTTCTCTTGCACTGCAGAAGCTTTTTAATAAGATGAGGTGGCAGTTGTTGATTCTTTGTGCTAGTTCACATGCAACTGAGGTTCTTATGCCAGTGTCTTCAAGAGTTCTACCTAACTTATCTTCTAGCAAGTTTAATGTTTCTATTTTAAAATTTAGATCTTTAATCCACTTCAATTTTAGTTTAGTGTATGGTGAGAAATGTAGGTCTAGTTTTAATCTTTGGCAAGTTGAAATCCAGTTTTTCCATCACCATTTATTAAAGAGGCTATCTTTCCTCCAGTGAGAGTGTTTGGCTCCTTTGTCAAAGATGAGGTGGCTGAGTGTGTCTGGAGTTGTTTCTGCATCTTCTGATCTGTTCCACTGATCCTCAGGTCTATGTCTTTGCCAGTACCATGCTGTTTTTATCACAATGGCTTTGTAGTATAGTTTCAAGTTGGGGATTGTGAGACCCATGCCTTGTCTTTGTTGCCTAGAATTGCTTTTGCTATTCTAAGTCTCTTCTGGTTCCAAATGAATTTTTTGCTTGTTTTCTCTAGTTCTGTGAAATATGCTGTTATGATTTTAAGCAGGATTGCATTGAATCTGTATAGCAGTTTTGGAAGTATGGCCATTTTTGCTATGTTAATTTAAGAAGTGCTTTTTAAAAGTGTGTTGAAAATAAAGGCAGAAGACTATCCTGTGGAAGACAACGTGAAGACCTTAACCAGTGCCATCTTGTGGAGAGGGAGGGATGAAGTGGCTGGAGCAGTGAATGGAAAACAAGGAGTCAAAGATGGGTAGAGGATACAGCCTCCGCCACATCTCTGTAAAGAGTGTCCTCACAGTGCTTTGCAGGCAAATCTTTCTTTGTCTCTCAATGAATAAAATGAAATAAGAACATTAGATTCCTTGTACATACCTATTCCCTCAGGATTCTAACAAAAGGCATGGCCCATTGAAGAAGCTCATACTGCTCTGTAAAAGACACTGCTTCTCAGAAATGTGCAGCTCCAACATCTGAGAGATCATAAACTAGTGAAATTACATCCACATTCTTACCTAGGCACTCTGTGCTGAATCCTTAGAATTGAAGAAAGAATATTTCCAGATTCCCAGGGCTTGCATGATTCAGTTAAGATAAAGCACACTGCATTGATCAATAAGGAATAAAGCTTTATTGCTTAATAGAGCAGAATATAACAAGATGAGCCAGGCAGAAGAACACATGCCTATAACTCTAGCATTCTAGGAGGCTGAGATAGAAAGATCACAATTAGGATTCCAGCCTGGGCAACTTAGTGACTTCATGAGACACGGTCTCAAAATAAAAAAATAAATGAATACGATATGAAGCATGAAAATAAAAGAACTAGATGATCTAATTGACTATTGTGGACAAAAGATAAAGCTGAACAAAAGCATTTGTATGAGCCCCAACCCTCTGAGCCCCTACCCCATCACACACGTAGATTAGAAGGGTCCTTTAAAATGACATGGCTGCATTTGGTCAACTGAACTATGGACACTGCTCTGCAAGGTGAGCTACTGGCAAAAATACCTCTACTGAATCTTTAGATGCGGCTCTGTTCTTAGGAAACCCTACTGTGACCAAA